ATGTTTATCTACAATTTGTAAAGAAAAATGTATTATATATATGATAAGGAATTCATTAACTCTAAAGAGTAAATTTATTAAAATTTATTTTACTTAATAATTCATGTTTTATATTAAAATTTAATTATTTAGTTATTAAATTAAAAAATAATATAAAGATCAAGTTAACAAATTAAAAAAATATAAAAATCAATAATATTTGAATATATAGATTCAAATAAACATATAAAATAGCCTTATAATTATATGTCAATTTAAATTAAAAAAATAGTGTTAAATATTTTTTTAATTTTTTTAAAATTATAAACTTATTTATACATTAAAAAATTAATTTAGTTATAAAATATGAATTATTGAGTGCAGTAAATCTACTATAACTTATTTTATTTATATTATTTTAATAAATAGTAGTAATTAACATACTACTACAACAATATGTATTTTTAGCAATATTAGAAAAATGTTGTTAAATTATGAATAAATATTGCTAATATACTTTTGTGACATTTTATCAAATATAAGATAAAATTTATGTTATTAAAGACTTTTAACAATATTTACATATTAATGATGACATCTTTTAAAAATATTATCAAAATGATATTTTATAATATTTTAATAATATATATTATTAAATTTTTATAAATTTTATAAAATGATAATTAGTATTAACATAGATTGTACTGCAAGGTTGAAGATATCTTAAATTAGTCATTACTAAATCTATACTATATATAAAAATCATTTATTGTAAGTTTTATTTTATGGATATATATGTGTTTTATGTGTCATTATTTTAATTGATGTGGGACTATAATTTTAGGATACAATTAGATATTAAAGAAGTATACCTTTTATATATCATTTTTTTACTTAATGTGAAATTTAATTTTGAGAAATAATTTAAAAAATAATATTGAGATAAAAAAAATGTTACTCTATCCATAATAACATTCTCTAAAAAAACATGTTGTAATAACTTATTAACTTAATCTATAGTCACATTTTAACCTATATATGTAAAAAGATAAATGTTGCTCAAGATGTTAAATGTTTCAACAAAGGAATGGAAGGAGGAAAATGTGGTAAATAAAATACTTTTTTAAAAAATAAAACAAAAGTTTGGAAAAAAAATTATGAATGACTTTATATTAATTTGAAAAGGCATTGCTCCAACATTTTAACATACCTAATTTAATCTAATAGAAATAATCTTCTTAACTATCTTGTTTGTTACAAAAGTTCACATGGATGTTACAAATGCCTTTCTCTTAATCAACTGTGGATGAAAAGGTTAACAAATAAATTAAAGGGAGTTGCTACGGTACCTTCAAAGATTGAGGGGTTTCAATACATTCTTTTTTGTAAATTTATAAAAATTTTAAAAAAAATAATTTATAAAATGAATAATCCAAATTATATTTGTAAAATGAAAAGTAAGATAAAATTATAGAGATTAAAATTATAAGATTTCAATAATATTATAAAACATTAAAAAAAAAAGAATTAATAAATAAGAAAAATAAAAAAATATTAAAATTACAATATAGAAATTCAAAAATTTAAGCCAAAAGACAAAAATATATTTAAAAATTAATAAAATTAAAATATAGAAATTTAAAAATTTTAAGTGAAAAGACAAAAAATATACTTAAAAAATTATTAAAATTAAACTATTTAAATATATAATAATATTATTACAAATAAAATTAGAATATATAAAATAAAAATAAAATGACTAAATGATTTAAAAATTTAAAGAATAAAATATCATAAATATTATTTAAATAAATTATTAAAAATATAAAATATAAAATAAAATTATAATTACAACTGTACCAGTACCCTCCCAAATAATATGGGTACCGTAGAATTTCTCTAAATTAAATATGTGATTAAAAAGCGAAACAAAATTTTATTTTGTTCAATTATATTGATCAATCATTATTTCAACAAATTAATTGGCTGAAATAATTTAGAGAATAAATACATTTAATTAGATTTTTTAATTAATTAATGGTTTTTTTTTTAGGATTGAAAAATAACCGTTAAAAGTTGTAATTATGGTCATTGGTCGCGATGTCAAAAGGGTAGTAATAATGGTAAAGTATCAACTAAAGGGATGAGAATTTAAACTAGAACCATTATTTTAAAATATATATTTAATTAGCTGACTATTTGTATGGTACATAAAATGACATTGACAATTAATAAAAATTATAATACAACAGACATAATAATATCTCTAGTTAGACGAGGATTTAGCTTCTGAAGTTTTTTTTTTAAAAAAGGCTTCTCTTGCATTTTCGTTGAAGGACTATACTCAACCATGAACCCTAATAGAAGTACTTTACGTGAAAACTATTAACTTTTACCACCAATTCACTATCAAGATCATGTTTAGAATGTCAATCACCACTTTTTTATATATAAAAAAATGACATATAATATTTTTTAATATTAGATAAGTTTTATTAAAAGTGTTGCAATCTTTTTAAGACTGAGAATTACCTTTTAAGACCAAAATGCAAAATTACTTCGGGAGCAAAAACAATGTATTTGGCAAATATTTTAAAATACTACTTTACCTTATTTTATTAGTTTAATTTTATTTTTCTTTTTTTTTGCAGTTTATAACATTTTGGAACATTTTCAAATATTTATTTTAAGTAATTTTTTATCTTATAAATTCTTAACTTTTTCATCTTTCTTTTCATTATCATCAAAATTCTTCTTGTAACCAAAAAAAAATTCAAAATTATTCTTTTATATGATGTTACACTTTAAACCAAAGTTAATAACTAGCTAAATTTATCACACGCATTTAATTTAATCAACCAATTTATTAATTTTCTTCTTTCAACTAACTTTAGTTCTTAACATGTTTTCTTAAATTTCAACTTATCTACTATCTATTAGATTCTCTTAAATAAACAACTTATATACTATCTATTAGAGTCTCTCAAATAAATAAATAAATATATATATATATATATATATATATATATATATAATTTAAAAAGAAAAAAAGAAAAAAAAAATCCACTGGACTCTCAAATATGCAAGCACAAAAGATACTATTTTGAATAATCATTTTTCTCAATTATCATAATCCTATCCAGCCCAAACTTTCTATAATACAAATTTCTTCTAAACCACATCAAATATCTTATCGGTAGTTCGTCAGTTGAAGTTAATCTGGGCTTCTCAAAACTCAGGTCATAATTTTACATGGCAACAAGCTCGTATATAAGTTGTCACATTGGGCTCGATTTGTTTTTTTTTTTCTGGTACACACTCCACCATTTAAAAAAATTATATATGTTTTATTCATTAATGATGATGACACAAGATTTGAATATAAGATTCTTAGTATTTTAGTTTAATCTTTAAATATTAAGTCGACCTTAATAGTTAAATAAGTTATATATATATATTTAAAAATTTTAGGAGTATGTTATTAAGCTATACTATTTTTATATTTTAAAATAATACTAATTATAATTTATTAACACATCTTAATTAAAAATAAGTAAGTATATGTTAATAAACTTAATAAACACTTGTTAATCAAACTTCTTAATGCAATGGTTGTTAAATTTGAAACACAATACTTTAAAGTTGAATTCCTTCAGTGTTAAAATAATGTTGATGAAAAAAAATTAATTTTCCATATAAATTTATATACGTCCAAAATAAGTTATTGAAATGCACAAAGACCCATTAATATTAATTTTCTTCACAAAATATTTTATCAATATATGAAGACTTTTTTTATATATTATTATTTATTATATTTATAGATTACAATATAGTATTTATAAAAATAAAATAAGTTACTTCTTTCTTAAATAATAGTAATTAATTTATTTATTGAATATGATACATAATGTATTTTTGTAATAATAGAAAATATTTTAT